CTCTTTGCTCCATATATAGTGATTGCTGGGTCATCAATGTTTCATATTTTCCACATGGCTCAACCCATCTATAGACACATCGACAGGCAGAGAAGTCAAGGTATTTTCATCTGTCTTCAGCTTCGAGCAATAGGAGGAGTTCATACAAGTTGACAAGTTCAGTAAGTATGGTTTGAAATTCATGCTAGAACCCAGTAATAAATGCCATGCTTTATCATTTCAAAAACAAAATTGGGATGTTTCAAATGATTGTCAAGCCTATACAGACACTAAGTTAGAGTCTTTAGGACGTCCACTTTAAAGAGAGCTGTGTGCACTTAGCAAAAGTACCACGCAGTACTTTTCAAAACTAAGCCTATCTTAAAATGTGTATTAATTTCATCGGTAATTTTGGAATTCAAGAAATCCAGCTAAATAACACTTTATCGTACACATTTTTTGTCAACGCAGTCTCGTTTAGCTTAGTGATTGTTGCAGATCCATTATAAAGAGAGTGCAAGAGTAACTAAATTCTTTAATATAAATTGGTTGAGTAAGTACGTATTCTCTTTCAATATATGAAGCGCAAACGAGCAAAACATCACATTCTCGTTGCGTGTGAGAATATGATACAAAAATAAACTTCTTTGCTTCTTTTCTAGTAATGGTAATTTTATTAAAATAAAGTTAAGCTCAGTGACATAAGACATCTGTATTTTATCACAAACATAAGACAATAAATAATATTCTAGACTCTAACTTTTCTTTGTGGTTAAGCATGTTAAAGCTTGCAATTTATGAAAGTAACATTTTCACTAATTTTTCGTATGTTTGTGATTTTTCAGCGTAGGCGTACGGGGCCAAATAAAGGCGGTGCTGACAAATTCTTGCCCGACAAAACGAAAAGTGCCCGACATGGATTTCATTAGTATAAAAAACACTATATGCCTGGATGGATGTCTAAAAATATTAATAACGTTAACAACATCTCTAATTTGTTATAATACTTCATATTTGTGTATTCATTGCCTGAGTACTTTCACTTTTACTAACTTATATCACACCATACATAGGTATTTGTGGATAAAATATTCTATGCATTTATCATAAGCTTCAATAATTCCATTCACGAAGTCGTTGAGTCGGCTAAGCTTACTTACAAAGAGGTACAAGACGTGCTGTCGGACATTCAGATAGTATTGAACAATAGACCGTTAACGTATGTGAAGATGATGTACAACTACCATTGATCACACCAAGTATTATATTTTAGGGAAGGCGAATTATCTTTTGGAAATGCCTAGTGAAGAAATAATATACATCAATATACGAAAGAGAGCGTTTTATTTAAAGAAGTGCAAACATTGCTTCCTGCTGCGTTAGAAAAGGGAATACATAAAAGCACTTAGAGAACGACATGATTTAGGACATAAAGGGAAACGTATGCAATTGAAAGAAAGAGACGTGGCGCTTATTAAAGCAGAAAAACAGAACAGAGAAAAGTGGAAAATCGGAACTGTGACTGACCTTATACCTGGTCGAGATAGAATAGTGAGGGCAGTCAGGCTTCGTACTGGTAAGAATAATCTGGAAAGACCAGTTAAGTTTCTCTACCCACTAGAATTGCATTGTGATGTAGAAAAACAAGTCACGTTAAAGCCAGAAGCAAGAGAGTTCAGATCTAAACGGATAACAGCGGTGGAAGGAGCGGAAAGCTTTCAAAGAATACTTTCGTATAAAGATAACGATGAATTGTGAAATAAACCTTATGATTCATTAATTGTGTTTACGTGAACAAGAAAAGACTGAAAAGTTTAAAAAATAGTATATTTTAAATAATATACATTTAAAATAGAGGGAGTGTGTCGCGAATGCTAGCACATTCCTGTAAAGTATTAATATCAGTGAACTTGTTATGTTAAGTTTGATTGAGAGCTGTCAAAAATAATTGAGGTTGTTGTTGTAAAAGATTTGTGATGAAGAGATGTAATCTGAGAAATGAACAGTAAAACGCAATTACTTAAAATTCGGGCTTCCTCAAACTTATTGTTGGAATCAAACAAATTTCACCACAGGCATGATGTAACAATTGAAAAGAAAATTACTATAATGTTCAGAAAGCGATTGCTTACAGACGTCAACAAATCGCGAAGGCTTAGTCCTTTAACAGTAAAACCAAGTGCTTGAAATGGTATATTTTGCAAATTCGATAGACTGTATATCGAAAAATATGTCTGATTACATCAGAATTTTGGAATAAGGCTTTCGAATCCACGTAAAATGGATAGTGTAAAAACCACGTAAGGTTTATATGCACTTAAATTTACAACAACAAGATCCATTCTGCGCGTTTGAAATGATTTGGGTATTTATAAAGTCAGAATATTGTGAAATTGCTGGAGAAGATCAGTAATCGTATGATAAGTATTGAATCGTTTCCATTTGCAAAAAATCATACAGCTACACGGGCTCATTTAGTGATGAGTCATCCCAACGGCCGGATTAAGCATAAGGCAGTAGGGGCGTCTGTCTGCTCACGGGTCCCCGCACTTTAGAGCCCTGCGCTTAGCTCAGTTCTAACTTTTTTTTCAGAGTATTGGTTAACAAGGACAAGCGAAACACCCTTTTAATTTTTTCTTTACAATCAAGTTCTCAACAATTGTCAATTAAAGATATTTTTATAAGCTGGGTTGAATGACAATAAAAAATTTCAAATTCATGTACATACGTTATTGTTTTAACATACAGACATTTCTGAATTTTCACATCATGGTATACATGTTATCTTTTAATCTTTCTGATTTCAAAACAATCTGAATTTCGGTCCGTCAGGGGTGGGAGGAGAAGGGCCCGCGCTGAAAAATTGCAATGGGTCAGTGGAAGGCTAGTTTAGACATGTTCATCCCTTTACACGGTACAAGAGAGCATAATTATTAATAGTAATTATCAACTCTTTACAACAATAAGGCAGACAAAGTTTTGCTTACACAGGAATAACACTTGGGAAAATATTTATAGTGAGCTTCCTTGCATTTCCTTTGACGCATTTTTATTGAGGCAGAAAGGACTTCCGACTCGTTGTTTGTCATTTATCCTGATGACGCATGCCATAGACCATCATTTTAAGGGTTATTTTCAACAGGAACAATACATCAAATGTCTGGTGTTGATCTTAACTGAAATTATGCGTACAAAGATAGAATCGTCAAGGCTGTTCAAAATTACCCAAATTTCTATAATTTACATCTTTTCAAGTCGTATGTGAACCGTCCGTGTTCTTAAGACCGGAGTCGTATGTTAAGTACCAATATTAAGTAAAAATACTTACAACTTTCAACTTAAATCAGAATTATATCTTTGAAATTGATATATGTGGAGCATAAGGGGTTGCATGTCAAACCTAATATTATAAGGAAAATCTTTGTTGTACATTGTACAAGTTTTTTGGGAAAATGCATTGTTCTCAATCATCTTTTAACCTAGGTTACTCAATGACACGTACAAGTTAATTATATGTAATTATTATTCAAGCAGCCTGGCGGGCAGCCATAAATATTATAGTTCATACATTTCGCACGTTCATACACTCTAATCAAAGAGTGTACGAGTCAAGTTTATAGTTATGATAAGTTTGAATGGTCAAGTCTGTTCACATGAGTCTGGATTTTTATTCATGTATGAGATGTTTCCTTTTTACTTTGAATCATCTCAAAATGCACAAAAGACAGATTTAAATTATTTTCCAGGATTACCTAAATTTTTAACATTTACATCTTTGTATGTCATTAGTCGTCAATTGACCTTGTTTTTCTTTAGAGCAAGGTCGTTTGTACCTATATCACGTTTTAGCAATTTAAATCTTTAAAATTTAAATATCACGTTTAAGAAGGTTTTAGATATATTTGCTTTCTATTTTATACATTCACTATTTGCTATTCGTCAAGTTTTAACAGAATAATGCCCAAACGCAACAATATTTTAGCCTTAAGACATTATTGCTTGCCAAGAACACCGCACCATTTCACTTTGCCAATTTAATAGAGTATAAATTATAGGTTTGCTTGTTCAAAACTTCCAAAGCGGACAATAATGAACAAAAGGAAAGTCTGTTTTACCTTATAATTTAACGAGAGCAATTTGAAACGTCTGCATAAATTAACATTGTCAACAACAAAATTATGCATGTTGTCAAATGTGACATGTACTAGTACTTGCAAATTAAATAGCTTTAACATAAATCGACTCTACCTGCCCGATCAATTTAAAGAAGCTTTCAAATCAATACAACGCAAATCATCATCAACAAAATATTCGTCGATAAGAGTCTATTTTGTCGTAGAGCTGAGTAGTATTTTACTGCTCTACGGTAGAAAAATGGTTGTGAATCATTCAAGGTATTCAACTTATGGTCAAGCATGAACAGCTAACCACCGAACCGAGAAGATATATGTTATATTCATTTCTGGGTTGTGAATGTTTCATAATTTCCGCAGTGTTCAATCGAAGCACATCGACAGGCAGACAAGTCAAGACATTTTTATATGTTTTCATAATCGTGCAATCTTAGGATCGACAAGTTAGGTAAGTATACTTTCAAATTTATGGTAGAACCCACCAATAAATGCTGTGAAACATCAGTCAAAAATTAATACGAAAGTTGAGACTTTTATATGAACTTCAAGCTGTATGTTACAGACACTAAAACATTGTCTTTAGGCTGCCACAATAACGAGAGCTATCTGCACTTATTAAAAGTTATCATGCACGTAATAGTTTGCCGGTTGGTTTCAAACTAAACTGATCTTTAAATGAGTATTACTTTTCTTATAACGCTTCATTGTACAATTTTTTTGATACGATTTCTGTGTTGATTACTTAAAATAGATAAGCCGAGTTACTACGTGTAATATTCTCATGCAATAAATGAACCTTTTATCGTCGATATTGCTCTAAATTGAATTCATGTACAGTACAAGGTTGAAAATGATTAAGATTGAGCCTCGAAACATTAGCGCAAACGATGAACACTTCAGATTCTAGATACACGGAAGAATGTGATACAAAATCAAACAAATTCATTTCTTTTCTAGTAATATTATGGACGACATAGGGCATACACTAAATTTATCACAAAATAACACAAAAAAACGAAAGTGTAAATTCCACCTGTTTTTCCCAGGTTATACAAGTTATAACGCGCGTTTTATAAAACTAACTTTTCGTATTATTTTGCGTGTAACTATTGTTTCTTCAGATGAACTGACAGTGAAGATGACTTCAAAACACTTTCTGCTTTTTCTCATTGGTGTGATGTCACAGGCATACATTACAACAGCAAAATATCATTTGGATCTCCTATATAATGGAGGTAGAGTTGTTTACATAATTTTTCTTTAGTCATTTCCAGCGATTCTAAATCTAGCTGAATAAAACCAAGCAGGTCCAAGAAAAAGAAGTTTGAGACTTCGATATGAGTTGAAAGGGCAACTTAGAACAACAAACATTTACTTAGTAAAATATTATAAGAAGACTGGAGCTCATTACTCCAAAGAATGGAATTCATTACCTCTACTCCTTCCCTGAGTTGCTGACTGTTTATTCTTATGCACAAGTGAATATATCAAAATAAGGCAACTTGTCAAACAAATTGATCAACACAATTGGACAATAGGAAACATAACAAATTGGATAAAATCTTGGAATTATAATCAGAGGCGTAACTAGAACCTTAATTGGGGGGTGTATATTCATATATTCAGTTTCGCCCTACTGATTTCTTTTGAAATTCAAATCACTTTCAAAACAAATCAGTGGGGCACAGCGGGATAAATGGATATGCACCCCCCCAATTAACGTTCTGGTTACACCTCTGATCATAGTAACTGTACCGAGCAGTTGACCTGACCGCTCCGAAGTAATCTTATTACTCTTATCATTTTATGGATAGTGGATGCGCATTTGAAAGATTTTCTATAGCCTCTTAAGCATTTTTATTTGCATTGTTTTCATTTTCCTTTGTTCATTCTGATCATTGGTGCAAAAAATGCTAGGCTAAAGGCACACATTAAATTTGTGTGAGATGGAAAAAGCCTCAAAATTACAATAAAGCTTTTGAGCAGGTCCAGCAGGAAATAAAAGGAATTACTCGAGATCATCTCGCACAAAGTGCAAACCCTTCAGCTAAAACATAGTTGCATACAATTCATAAAGCTGTTGATTTTATAATCGGTGGATTGAACAACATCTCACATACGTGTCTAGCTTTTTTGGGACTAGCTGTGTCTTCGAGATTTGATCTTAAGGCATTTCCATCAAAGACACAGCATTAATGGATCAGGCCACACGATTCGGCAATCGCTGATGCCAACTCCTATCAAGAATGTGACGATTCTGGTAACAAATGATTTTTTATTGCTATAATGCTGAGGCGTAACAATACACTAGTCTTGACATGACTTGAAAAAGTCCTTCCGACTGATATATGTTGCTATTTTTTCGTGTCGTTACTACATTTTTTGTCTTTTACTTTAGATTTAAATATACGATAACTATCTCAATACGTCATTTTATCAGTGGCGTGCGGTGACCGAATTTAATAGGCAAGCGCTGACAGTGATAACACAATGCATTCAGTCATGTTGTACAGGTGTCGTGAAAATACCGAATGTAGAAGTAGAACATAAAAGGATGAAAATTCCTATGCTATATATTTTATAGGAACATCAATCTTATTTATACCTTACATCAGTTACATGATATCTACCGGATACAAATATCAAAACTACTACGCAAAAGGAAGCTCTTGTCAATATCATAATCTTGTATTACATGCTACAGATAATATCTTCTACATACATAAATTGCAAGACAATAGGCGCGAAATGTATTGTAGCAGTCGTGATTATAACAATTAAGAACAGCCAGTTTCGCGCGCAAAATTGGCACGGTGTGTTACAAACTGAGGCCATGGCGTTGTTTAATGTTTATATTTTGGTATAATGACGTCATGGCAACGTGTTCTCCCGTTCTTCAAAATGTGTCTGGCACTGACTCGTACGTTTCAGAATATCGGAGAGTCGTGTTTATTATTTAGTATCTTGTACCTTTTATTTTTAGTCATTAATTTACGAATTCAACGACACAAGACTGACAAGAGCACAGTGTTTTGGTCATAATGCTAGTCATACTTTACCACAACACACGTTTGCGTGCATTTCGATATCTCTGCAGACTGCGGCCCCTGCTTGTTTACGCACATTGTGCGCAGAAAATAATAAAATAACCAGTAAAGCACCTACTACTTTGAATTAGAAATCAGAACATTACCTTTCGCTCTCAGTCATCTTTTAATAAACGATAACATTAACGGCGTGAATAATTCGGATGTCCAATATGTTGAATATACGAATATTATTCGTGCGCTGATATGTGTTTAAAATTGCGAGCGTACAAGACTGTTGACCAATCGCTATCAAGCGGCGCCCTTAGAAGCGCCGCTTGCCTTTTCTCGACATTCCTCGAATAAGAAGCCTCCAAATCTAGATTAACGCATCCGCAAATGTTCAAATTAAGCTCCGAAGGCAAGCGCGCTTGCCTTGGTTAATAAATATTAGGTGTATTTAATCCACTTGACTTATCTTACAAGTGTAGCAAAGTGAAACCGAAAACCACGACAGTAAATCGCGTATAAATAGCAAGCATTTCAACTGTAAAGACAATTTAGACAAAAGATTACATTGACATTGTTTAGAACAGAAAAATTTAAACTGATTTCGCTCAGAGATTGATCCAAAAAATTTTTGTTCGGTAAAATGCTTAGGCAAGCGGCGCTTGCCTACGCTTGCATGACCGCACGCCACTGCATTTTATTGTGTCGTTCTCTTTACTGTACCAAACTTTTTTGAATTTACGTGTGTCTTTTTGAATTTACGTGTGCAACATAAAATCCCCTTCATAGGATGTGCACAACGTCGTGGACCTAAGTGCGTCCCACTGTACCTGGCAATTTTGGGAGAGAGGTTGGAGTAGCTCTTCGTCTTGCGATAGTAACTTCTAGTCATATTGCATATTTTTACATATTTCACCCTAAAAATAGTTATTCCTTCAATTAAATTCTGTGAAGCAAATAATAATTTCTTGTCAAAAACAAAGTTATAAGGAGCATCCTTGTTTTATTGTACAAATAACGTGTGAAAATGCATTGTTTTCAAGTATCTTCCTTCCCAACAGGTTGTTCAATTACTTTCACAAATGAATTGTATGCAGTTAAAAAGACTGGCTCCTTTTACAAGCGTTCACCGCCAACTGAAGAGAGTGAAAGTTGGATAAAATGTGCAGAAAAAATAGGCAATAACGGTTGGGATAGCTTCAAGTTCCTTTTTCTCGGACCAGATGGTGACTTGTATGCAGTTCGTAAAAAAAATGGCGAGTTTTTGAAAGGTTCTCCACCTGAAAATGCAGGTGACACCTGGAGTGCTCGTGCAACTATAATTGGCAATAATGGTTGGGCTGACTTCAAATTTCTCTTTTTTGGTCCTGGCGGTGACTTGTATGCAGTTCGTAAAAAAAATGGCGAGTTTTTGAAAGGTTCTCCACCTAAAAATGCAGGTGACAGTTGGAGCGCAACTATAATTGGCAATAATGGTTGGGCTGACTTCAAATTTCTCTTTTTTGGTCCACATTGCAACCTGTATGCCGTGAAACAAGACGGCTCTATCGTTACAACGTACGAACCAAAGGATAATTCTGACGCATGGTTAGGCCGCGCAAAAAAAATTGGTGCAAGAGGTTGGGAACAATTCAAGTTCCTCTTTTTTGGTCCTGGTGGTTATTTGTACGCAGTACCATGTGATGGTTCTTTACGAAAAGCCCCTCCTCCAACAAACGCAAATGAGACCTGGGTTTCTCACTCAACTAAAATTGGTGCTAAAGGATGGGAAACTTTTGTTTTTCTGTTCTAATTCTCTTTACTTAATTCAGTAGCAACTGACAATTTATGATTATATTATGGTAATTGTTCTCGACGTAAACAGTTTTGAAATATAATGTCATTAGCAACCCATTTTGCTTTGGTTGCATGCTATTGCTTATTAAACATTTCTCAAATTTTGTAATAATAGCTTGATTTCTTTATGTCTTTTAAATTTTTGGGTGTTAATAATGAGGATTATATGAAAAATTTGATTTTTTTCCCTGCACGCTTTGCAAGAAAATTCCATGTGTATTCACATTGCACAAATTTCCTCATGTTTACACAAACTCTGGTATAACACAGTGACATAGAAGTGTTTTTGCATTGCTTTTAAATACAGTGGTTAATGTTTTGTATACATATTTTATTCAAAAAAGTTTTTGCAAACAGAAAGAGTTTGATTAAAAAATGAGAAAGCTCTTTTGCAGCAAAATTTTTTGCAAACCGACCACGTACCAAGGATTTCAAATTTTGCAAAACACAACAAAATTCTCAAGAACAAAACAGGCGTGGCATTAGTGTGTTTTTATGACGTTTAATAAAGGGTATAGTCAATAAAAAATTCGACTTTACATAAAGATTCACCGCACAAGCCGCTCACAATTGGATATATGAAAATGTACTCTCCCCGGTCCAAATAGCGTTCTAGCTACGGGCCTGAGGATAAGTAAAGATTAGTGAGAAATGATTAATGTAAGAGTCGTGGAGCGTAAATAAAAAATATGTAACATGGCATACGAACACAAAAAATTAATAAAAGTATAGAAAATGCTATATTTAAGTCTTTTGGTACGTACTTTGCCGTCTTTTGTACCAGATATACTTCTAAGAAAATGTTCAATAGGCAGAAACGGAGTTGGTGAAGTACTTGCAGCGGGAATAACTATAACGAAAGAACTGTGAATGCATCCCTTCAGCAAGCATGGCTTGGTTTAATATGAGTTTAAATTCTAAAGTTTATATTGATAGCTTTGCTTCATCTCGATAAAAGGTACTAGAATCCTTTTGCTTGCAGAACAGCAAAGCAATCAAAATAAACTGCTAGACACAGGTAGAAATAAGCGAAGCGTTCTGTTTTTCAATGTCAACTATGAGAGTGAGCTCCATGGTAACACAATTATATGATAAATATGTATACTTTGAACTCGGGAGTATCGTAACATGTTTTTTGTATATAAAGATCGTCCAGGTTATTATAGTGCTGAGACGGACTGTTAATATCAATGTAGACTGACGTTACGACAACCTTAGAGGTTGTCATCTTGAGAGTCGATTTAGGAGTAAACGTCTGGTTAGCCGTATTCGTTTTTCGGTTCTTACGTCATCGCATTGTGCGTATAGGAAATATGTGGGTGTGTGGGTTTCACTTGTTTATTAATATATTAGATTAGTCTCAAGTAAATGTGTTAGTTGCTTCTTTGTTTGTATTGTGAATAAGTCGTTTGTAATGTTCAGGTAATTGTTGTGATCTGTTCAGGGGGGTTTGTTCTAAGTTGACATGTATTATCTTTTGGTTCCGGTACGTAGATGATACAATCACAGCTTTATATGCAGATGACATCGATGATATTCACACTCACATCAATAAACAAAACAGCCACATAAACTTTACCAAAGATGTCGAAGAAAACGGAACTCTTCCTTACCTCGACTGTTTGGTAAAACATGACAATCAAAAACTAGGAACAACAGTTTATCGCAAACCAGCACACACTGACCGACTACTTGACTAATCATCGTATAACACTAGATCACACAAAGCCACCACAATCAGAACATTAACAAGACGTGCGCAAATCATATGTAATTCACCGGACGCTCTACACAACAAAAATAACGTGTTTTTGATAAAAAAAAAACTGCATAACTCTGGCTTTATCAAACGCAACACTTACAAACACAATGAACTCAAAGACAACAGCAACAATAACTTATATCAAAGGTACGTCTGAGAATATCTCGTGTATCTTACGACCATACAACATACGTGTCGCACGTAAACCAATCACAACACTGATGAACATAAAAGCAAGAACAACCCGACGAACGACAAGGTGAAATTTACAGAATAAACTGCTCCAACTGCCACGCTTCCTATATCGTGGAAACTGGCAGGAACTTAAACATAAGACTTGCTGAACACAAACGAGCGAGAAAGAAACAAGACAAAACCAATCACATTGCCGAACATCACCGACTCACAAAGCACAACATAGACTGGGACTCGGCGAAATGTATTACTCACAGCACTGACTATATACACCACTTACATTAAAAAGTTGGTATACCAACTTAGAATACCACCCTCCCCCCCTGAACATATCACAATAATTACCGTCACCTTACAAACGACTTTTTACAATACAAACAAACAAGTAAGTAGCACATTACTTTAAACTAATCCACTATAACAATACACAATTGAAACCAACACACCCACACATTTTCTGTACACACAATAAGAGGACGTAAGAGCCAGATAACAAATACGATGGCTACCGCTAAGTTGTCGAATCATCAATCACATACCAACAGTCCTTATCAGTACTAAACTAATTACAGTACTGTACGATCTTCATTTACAAACCTGTTACATGATAATTGTCTGGTATATATGCACATTTATTCCAACTAATTGTACACGAGATTGTGCAGAACATAGAAATGTATGTAGTTTAGAATGAGCAAAATATCTTACTACACATTTATATATCAATCAACAGTTATGACTTAAAATTCAAAAAAAAGCAAGTACTGATCAATAAACTATGTGACATGCAGGATTCCGGTGATCTACTTATGATTAAATGAATAGTTTAATGAGTTTGTGCTTGATAAATTCATGGTGCTACTATAAACCTTCTAGTTCCATAGTAATTTTCATGCTTGTGAAGGGTTCGTATCGTAAAGATTTCAATATGAGAAAGTTTGGTTCGGTTAGCACCATTTCACTCAAATTTTTAATAGTTTATTTATTTGGTAAAACAAGCTGTTATGTTTTATTTTCAAACACGCCTTTAAATATATTTGGACAAAAGTTCTTGTCCTCACTGTATATGTGAGAAAAAACTAAAATAAAAAATATTGTAGTTCAATTTGTACACCAAACCCAGGAACAGATCTCTATTAACATTTGCCTACTGTATGAATTTACCTGCTGCACTCATGGCGCTTTGCTTTTCATAATTTCGCCATTGCTTTATAACTGTAGGATCTTTAAACATGTTGTGAACGACGGAGGCTGCCATTGCACAGGCAAACGGTTGCCACTTTGCATCTCCTTCATTTCCTTTACTTCCATTTGCCAAATCTGAAATTCCTTTAACAACAACCCATTCTATACCGGCACTGTATGCAGCGGTATACAAACCTGGGTATAAGCAAAAACCAAATTAATTTATATAAGATAGGTAAGAGTGTTATTTAAACAGTTAAAAATAAATTCTAATGTATAAAGGCACATTTTCTGCAAATTGCTTTCGTGACACACGTGTCTACCATGGAAGCATATCTTTTATCAGTTATTTAATTGCCGACACGGAACTAACATTTTTTATGGAAGTATTTGTAATCAAACATCTTTGTAAGAACGTTTGCATCTTGCTTTACAACTGAAAAAAAAGATTATCTTTATCCTAATATTTCATTTATGTTTACAGTTAGACTTGCATACATGTGAACGACGATGAAAATAATTTTTGTCACATAAAGCAATAGCAGTATTGCACCATAATTACTGAAAGGTAAAATGCAATCGCTTCAGTCCACGTCAAAAACTTCGTTCTGCACAATTTATTCAAAATCGCGCCAACTAGTCGCTTTGAAAGTTTTAGCTATGCTAAAGTATACTGTTGATGAATGAATTAGCCAAAATACAAATAACGTGCACTTCAAGATGAAATCGCGATGCACGATTTAGATCATTTTATATATAGAATTTCCGACTAGGTTTTCTTATGCCTGACATTCGAGCCTCAAAATTGATGTTTCTTACGGCTATTTAGCTAAAAAGCAAAATATAAAGCAAAAACACATCAGACAAGGATATTCGTATTTAAAGTCAGTAAAAACTCTAGCATTTTGCTTTCACTTTGTTCCTAATCTTATCAATGATTTCAGCTGGTATGTAAATAAAATACAGAGCTCTCAAAAAATGCCCTTACCCTACAATTTACTCTTCTCTGGTTGAACACATTACAATACCATTGGAAATTTTAAAGCTTAATGAAATACTTTTTTGGACACGCATGGTGCATTTTGGAAAAACTTTTAAATATTAACTTTTGCCGTGATGCACCTATCGCAGAATGTTATTAGCACAATGCTCACTTTTCAAAAACACAAAGTCAAATCTTAAGCATAGAAGCAAAACTACTTATAGGTTGCTTGCAATCATTCCCCAAGTAGTCAAAAAACAAAGAAACTTTCACCATGTTGGATGCAATTTGAATTGTAATATTACAATACATACTATTACCATAGTCAATAGCAAAAATTAGAGCAATTCTATCAAAACCGTTAATAAAGTATGAAAATTCACTGCAAACACATGAAACGTGCAATAACGTAATTTCGCATGAGTACATATAGAGAACTTAGATAATGAAAAAAACGGAAAGCTCATGAAAAATAACATATGCATATGTCAATATTGACATTTCATTTCTGTAAAAATGAAACATTACAGTGTATTGAACAAATTCTTCTTCTTCCGCGGTTCCTGAAACTAGTAATGCTCTAACTTTGTTTCATTTCTCTGGCGATCGGCAATTCCCGCGTATTGTATATAGATGACAGAAACAAATTACCAACTAAACAAAGTTTAAGTATTATATTCTTTGTCGCACGATATACACTAAACTGATGTTATTTTTTGTTCCACATCCGTTGCATAGTAAACGTTACATGTATTTTTCATTTAAAACGATGTTTTCAAATTTTCAATGCTTCATGCGTGTTTATTTGCTAAACTTCAACGTTAAGTTTAATGCATGATCGATATAATCATTGATCTTTTGCATCTTTTGTCTCCCATAGTTTTACAATTATTACTTTGCACTGAAAAAGTGCTTTATTGAGATTCTAATTCATATTTTTGAAAGCGCATCTACTAACAAAGTTCCAATTTTGTAAAATGATCGAAAATGTTTTAAGTTTATGCGATGTTTGCAAACAATCAAAATTTATTTCTAACTTTAGATTTTACCTTCGCCTTCCATTTCAAGAGCAATTGCCTCTGGAAATTTTTTTAGCAATGTTTGACGTCTCTCAAGATTATTAACCAACTCTGGACCACTTAACATTACTGAGTGTTTATGAACTGTAACGCTTTCTTTGTCCCTTTCATCTTCTACAGGAGGATCCCAACCACGATCTGCACTTCGAATGAGGTCTCCCATGTTTTTGCTCACGTTTGTCTGAATACCACGCCATTCCTCTTCTCCATCTGCCGAGATTTTCTTAGAAGCGTACGTTGCCAGTTTCGTGGAAATCAAGACATCTCCTAGCTTGGCTTTTTTTGGGTTTACCATTCCACAACACCCGACGCATGCAACTGCTTTGGGTTTTAAAATGTTCACTGCATCTTTGACAACGTCGAGTGCTGCGCCCGCCCCAGCTGCACCTTGGTTGCATTGTACCAATGCAACTTTCACCTTAAGCAAAAGAAAGGGATTCATATCCAACATTTTTCCCTTTGCCGATGATGTTTTTGCAACAAACTTTTTTGAAAAAGCACGGGTGAGAATTCTGCAAAAGTCAGAAATTAACTATTGCTGCTCAAATTTAAATTTACCTTAACAAAATTTCTATAAAAGAATGAATTTCAAAAGATTAAAATCTTAGAAAATAAACTGCATTCAAGATTTTTTAAATGTTAATATGTAAAAAAATTAGTAACATCTCACATGAATAAAACAAGAGTTAATAACAAGAATAAAACAAAAATAATTCTAAGCACGAGCTGAAGGAGAGTTTTTCTTTTTTGAGCAGATCTCTTTTTCATTAAGTGGTTTGCTTAAATTAGCTTTTTTGATTGTATAGTTGAATGCGAATGTTCGATAAACTTTTTCACAACTAAAAATTAGATTGACAATTATAATCCTAAACTTACCTACTATTTTGTCTTGTTAAAGTTTAAGAGTATGTTTTTCCAATTACTTTCCTTTCATATGCCACATTAGCTGCGTTGCATTATTTTTTTAAGAAATTTGTTTGATACACAATGTACATTGGTAAATTTTATAAACTCCTCATTGTAGGCAAAGGTGAATTAGAGATTAGATTATTAATGCTTAAAACTTCACCCATAAATCAATTGAATTTACTATAGGAGATACAAAGTTAACGCAGCCTCTTGCAATTGCAGAAGACTACCCATCATTTAAGAAGAAAAACAACAGGGGATACTTAGAAAAATTGTTAGAATTTACTTCCGCTCTCCGAAGAATATACTTACATATTATACGGATGAAAATATTTGTTGATAATATATATATTCACCTGTCCATTGCCAAAGTTACCAAAGTCAACATCACCCAGGCCATGATACCAAGTTCTTTTAATATTTTCCATGTAGTAATAACAGCTAAGGAATTCACAATCTACCGCTGTTACCAACAGAAGATCTGTTGGTAATTCTGACTCAAAATATGACCAGTCTATACGTTCTGTTCCGATGTTTCTAAACGATGGCAGTTTAATGTTTAACTTTGGTGGTGATGGAATATTGTTATTATTCGAACCACTTTCGTCCATGTTTTCTGCGTTCATCGATATCATTTACAAATTGTCACTGGTTTTCAAAAATGTTTACGTGCGTCTTGTGCTTCGCGGAATATATAATTTCCTTTCGGGGAAGTCCCATTCCGGGGCTTCCCCGAAAGCAAATATCTGTTGAAAATTTACATATTCCCATGTCCATTGCCAAAGTAACCAAGGTGAACATCACCCACGCCATGGTACCAAGTTCGTTTAGTATTTTCGATGTAGTAATAACCAGAGCCCTCTATTGGGAGAGTTAGCACGTGTTTGTGGCGAGCGCGCAGCCGCCATTTTCGTTCCTACTTGCAAGTTAAACTTATCATGAAACTGTGTGGACTTTGGTCAATGAGCCAAAGAATGAAGCAATTCCGCTTTGTTTGATGGAAATTCTAAATATATCGGAAACCACAATCAAGCTTTTGACGATTTTGTGAATAATTACTACAAATCAAACTCAATTTTATGGATTTGATCTACATTCGCGGTTCACTAGTTCGTGCTTTGAGCGTGCTTTGAAATTAATCTTGACCGACGGCTGGGAATTTTTACATATGTGAACGTATATTCTGGCAGTTTTCACCAACAGCAGCAAGATATTTGTTTTCATTGCTTATAATTTACCAGCCATAAAGACAATACTCGACATTTCGGAGCATATTTTTGGCCGGGAAAACACGTTAGTACACACACATACATAGGTCCAGATCTAAATCAATGCTTTGGAAGGTATAAGTTAAGTCAAAATAAATCACTGCAGCTCATTTTTGGTTATATTTACATTTGGAAACCGTAGAATCAACTTAACTGGTAAAAATATATCCTTTAGAAATTCATCACTAATAATCTTATTCTAAAACTGAAAATCTCATGCTGAAAGACCCTGTGGCTCGAAGAGCTTCTACTAAATTCAGTTATGCATTAAAAAACTTTTTTTGTTCGTCTTCACTTATTCAGGAATCTAAAATTTTGCGTAGAATTTTCTGCAACTCGTCCGAAATATTCATATATTAAAATATTTCACTGTCATCAAATGCATAAACCAACGAACTTACGGTAATAAAGTGTTATGCAATGCATTAAATAAATGCTTTTTTATTGCGACATTTATAAACAATTGAGTTTCAAAGGAAGAGATCACTGCGTGTTTATTCATGACCAAGAAAAAAAACGGAAAATTTGTCTTTCTACCATTTAATGCTCAGTATTTGTTTGATTTTGCAACAAAAATGGCTGATCCTAGGTAATTTTACTTCCCGTGAGAAACTCTTTCGAAAAGTCAACTATAAAATATTATCAATATGGAACAATTAGACTAAACCAAAAAGTTTTCACTGATGTGTTAGGGATCAGACCCAAATTTAATATCGGAAATAAAAAAATTTGTAGCCAAGGGCATTTTGAGAAACCCTCAGTAAAAAATTTTTTTATGAGATTTGTATTAAGATTCTACTAAAACAGACCGATTAATTGCTATTTGTTTCTATTTTGAGGTAGTTGATATGGGCCTCTCCCTTATAACTGCATAGAAATCGCAAGCTGGTATTGTATTTCCAAACTTTCTCCGAATTTTTTAAATACTATAATGATTACTGCCGTTTGTTACAGGTTTTCCAGTTCACAAATACATACAATTTTCGTACTTTATACGAAGTTCTTTTAAAACTATATTTTTTGCACTGTAATACTTACCAGCATTTGACAGGCTTCCTGATTGGGACATGCCAGTCCTCTTAAAATTATGGTTAAATAAGTTTGTTTAGCTAATAAGCAAACTCATAAATAATAATACATTGTCGCAAAGCAAAATTTACTTTGATTTAATTATAACCATCACTAAAAGGAACTGCAATTATCCATTATCAAGGGCTTATAATATATGATGAAAAGGGGGAAAATAGACATTTGTGGATTGTACTTTTTAACGTTTAAGAAGTGTTGGATAGTCTTAATGCAAACAAAACATAAAGCCTTCAGCTGGAAAATACTTTCACCACAGCAAATCGAGTTCAGAAATATTGAAATTACGTTGTCCTAAAGACAAAGGTCCAGCTTTCATCCAACTTTGAACAACCAAACATATATAATGTTTAGTGATATCACTTATTTTCTTATTATTATCATGATATGGAGTACTATAGTTGAGGGGAAATGGGTTGAATTTTAATACTTCGTTCTGTATTTTAAAACCTTCACCAACGACTCTACTGTCCATTTTCTCACCAAAAGTCGATTCATAGACAACTTCATAACTTTTTCCTTCCTCTTCCTGGTATGGATACTTTTCTTTATTTGCCGTTTCTATTTTTAATATAAGAACATAGCCACTACGACAATGCATACCATTTCTTGTTCGCCAGTCTGTTAAACCACGGCACTTATACAAAATCAATCCAGTGTAATTTGCAGGTCTAGGTTGTCCAATATGATCTGGCCAACATGATATTGGCATATATTTATCAGATTTGCAAGAAATGTGAAGTGTCCGAACAAGAATTTCGTCATTGCCATCGTCAAAAACTGAAAAGCATCCGTTCATCTTTTTTGGATGACTTTTGGATGTATGAGGTAGTAAGGGTAATTCAACGGTAGTGTGTGCATTAAGCTTCTTCATAATTGTTTTTGATGATTCAAAGGTATCTGCATGAAATTGCTCCTAAGGAAAGATTGCTTTTATAAAATTTCAATAAAATTAAACTCATGCAAACGACAAAAAGATAAATTTGAGGAAAAAAAGCATTTTCCAGACAACTTTTTTTAATGTTTGCGTTTATAGCATCTATTACGTTGGCTGTTTTTTACCTTGATACGAAACGACAAAGTCTCGTGTTCATTATTAGTGACCGATGGAATATTTATTGCTGCACCACGACTTTCTGAACTCGCACTTCTAGAAAAAAGAATGCTTAATATTAATTTTCAACTTGCATGCGTTTCATTGGAAATAGTTCCAACTTATAGCTGAAAATTTCGCAAAAGTTATGATTGATTTTTTTCAGCACCCATTCTGTTTAAAGCGCAAATAAAGATAGGAAACTGACCTTTCAGCTGGCTTTTCATGTTTGTGTTTAGTCATCATACTATCAAGTTCCCAAACCTGAAATACACGCTTTCTAGGATATAAAGATCCAGTTTTCATCCAGCTCTGAACCACTAATTTTATGTAATTTTGAATGATATAAACACTTTCTTTCTTTTCATCACTGAACAGCTTATTGCAATTGAAAGCAAAAGAGTTAAATTTCAATTGTTCATTCTCTATAGTAAAACCTTCACCAACGACAGTATTGTGCATTTTCTCACCAAAAGCGCATTCATAAACAGCATTATGCACATTGCTTTCATTTCTTTCAAATTGATACTTTTTTACTCTTTTTGACTCCGTGCTCAAAAGGACAACATAGCCACTTTGACAACTGGTGCCATTTTTAGTTATCCAGCTTCTTTGTCCGCGACAACCATACAAAATCATCCCTCCATATTTTGCACCGGTATAAATGTCCGAATGTCGTGAAATGTACAATGAACGGACGTCGATATCTTCCAGATACTCGTCGCCAAGTTCAAAACAGCCTTTAAGATGTTCTGGGACGTAGGTTTTAGTGGTGGCAAAGTTATCTGCAGCCATTGATGACTAAATAAATAATCAGAACAAAGTTTTGTAAACAGGTAAAGCTAATATTAACTATTTTTTAAAAAAACTAACTTTGCATGCTTTAGAATAATTGCAAACTTCAATAGAACTACAATACCACAAACTCTAATGTGAAACATAGAACATGTTTGAGTTAGATATGGTAAGTGGTGTATAAAGGTGGTGCAAAATTGCGTGTATAGAGACAATAAAGAAGTTATAGCTGGTTCATTGCTATATCGTTTAGAAAGATTAATTTTATTTTTCAAATGTATATATACATGCCCTGCGGTGTAAAAAGTTATTCATACACTAAATTTTCTACACTTTAAAAAGAAGACTTGTGATCTTTAAACCGATGGAATGTGTAATAACTGGGTAGCTGTTATTTTAGGGTTGAAATTTTTGCGACAACTATTTTCTTTTTGATTGGTCTAGCTTCAAATGACAAACTGGCATTTATTCTTTTAAAATTCATTCCCCGCTGCTAGCAGCTTGATTAAACAGTGCACTTTAATAATATTCATCAAACTATTACATAATTAGCAGTACAATTTAAGTAATATGTAACAAAAAATTTAATAATATTTTTGATTTACTTTAGAGGTTAGTGCACTGCTTGTATTTTATACAAGCCACATATTTTTCAAAATCCAGTTGCTACTCCAAAATGCCGGGATTAACATTAGATTAATATTACACACTGTTTTTGTTGATCATGGGAAAATTTTAAATGTCGCATAGCTAAGCGTTATTTTTTTGTCAACACCAGTTTTTTCTAAGTATGGAAATGCAGCTAAACCCCTGCAGGTAATGGCGTTGACGAAGTTCCCTAAGTAGACACAGATCTAAAAATATTCTGACAACTGCGCTAGAAGAAATGTTTATTCCTAAAGAAATTTGGTTTAAAGAAGTGTAAGATACCCATGCAAAATATCTTTTCTGTGTCCACAGCTAATCAGTAGCTGTGTAGCCGTGTATCAAGAATAAGTAAATACTATAAGAACAATTTAAAGACAGTTAAGATGAAGTAATGCCTTCTAGCCAAAAGTTGAGCTCTTAGGTAGGTATAAACGACAGTAGGATAATTTATGAAATCAAATAACATATGGAGATGTCACTCTAGTTATTGCTGTTAAATTTCTTGATAAAAGTGTCTGTAAAACTCTTACAGGTTTTCTTTTTATTTAACTGTCTGCAATGAATTAATTCTGCAATTAATTCTTTATTTCTTTTTTCTTTTTCAACACTATGTGTGTTTTGGATCGTTAGAACTCTTAATTTACCACTACTTTGGTCAAATTCAAGCTAAAAATATTTTTGGATAAGAAGTAAATGTTGTTGAAGTGTTTCCATCCATTGACAACTTGTCAACAGATTTACTTCACATTGTTTTAAAAACATGCCCTTTTTTGCTGTATTTAGTGATTTTTGAACATGAAAAATTTTTGTTTTTTTTTTGTTTTTTGCTTAAAGCAGCTAGTTATTTAAAAGTGTGAAGTTTATTAATGGAATCGTCCTTATACCTCCAGCGAGAACAACGGCTTCACAATTGCGATTTTCAATTTCTCTCTTGGTATGAAGGATTTAAAATAAAAATACGCTTTCTCATGCATGTGAATAAATAAGTATTTTATCTCATCACGCAAAAAATTCCGCGGAGTTTCTTGAAATTTGCGACAAATTTCACTTAAAATTTTAATGGGAGAACTTTGTGTCAGCATCTCCCTCTCTTTTCCATGCAGCCACTAAGAATGTACTAATGACTAACTAAAAATGGTTTCAATTATAAGCATTAAAAATTGTTAATACTTAATTTGAAAATTCTAGTAATAAAGAAGAAAGTTTTGAATTGAATTAATTACCTGTTCATTATTTTGATCATTTCCATAAACTCTGCTTAAATTTGTCCTGATATCTCTGTTAAGAGCCTTTGTTTCTGAACTCGTACTAAAAAAGCAATACCCGTGGAATCAACTCATTTTTAATTAAAACGTTTCTAAAAAAGTTGTAATGAAGTAACTGACTCATGAAGAGAACTGATGGATGAAGATAGTGGCGTAAGTAGCGAGCGAGTTTAGACCTTCTATGTTAAGTTTTTCTGTGTTTACTCACTATAAAAAGAATATATTTCTAAAGAAATAAACAATGCTGATGTTTGAAATTTACATAATAGGACCAAAACTTACGAGCTTGCTAAGCCACTTAGTGAGGGAAGTTGAATAATTGACAAAAAATTTGCATTTTTTCAATAAATAGGGTCGATATTTGGTGTTTGTGTAGCAATATCTAGCTGTATAAAATTCGCATTGAATCTGACATCAATATCTATTATATTGGGTACTGAAGCAAGTGTGATTTTTTCCTACGATGTACTTTGTTGGAATTGAAAAAACCTTAAGATATTAAAGGTAACGTAGAAGTTATTTCAAACATTAATATTGATGTAATAGGTATTGATTGAGTTCAATTATTAGTAAATGCATCTATTTAAAATTTAACAGATTGAAATTTAACGTTAGGAAATTCTTCGACGTAAAAAAAGGAATAATGCTTATAAAACGCTATACGTTAAAAAATGGTGTAAGGTTCATAGGCGCACGGTCTTTGTGTGTAAAAATGATAAAAAAGTACACAGGCGTACATATAGTTTATATAATTGTAATTTAAATAGTACATAGAAAAATTTGTACCCGGAGAAAATTTCAGTTGTTGAAATGGTTTCTACTCACTTCCCTTTCTATATTAAAAATTTGCACAAAAGCATCTATTATATTTTTTGCTAATTTTTAAATTTTCAAATCTAGTAAAAATAGTTTAGTCATAAATTTATTATCGAATGTACACAATAGCTAAACCCCGTAACTGAGTGATCACGTGCATCCATCTACGCCTATAGCATGGAAGAATAAAAATGTCAACAAGGCATTTTTTGGCACTATACAAAAAACTTTATAATAAAAATACTATGGAAAATCTCTTATTTGCTTCATTTGAAGCGCGGAGCAGCCATCTTTCGGATTGCTCCATAGTTGCTGTAGGTGCGAAAAAAAATCTGGGCATCACACTGTCATCAAAATTTGGCTATGTCATTTGAAATGCCTAGTATTACTCTTCATTATGACTATTTTACCAAGCAGTAAAGTGAAAAATGCTCCCAAAAAGTTTAGTTACTTGCCAGTGATACGTCAGAACGATAACACTAGCAGATATTATCCTGAGAAACGAAGAATGACAAAGCGAGGAGTTAGACACTGTCATGCAAGACAATGATCCTATATCTTATCCAACTCTAAACTCTGCTAGGGCTCTAGTTAGCTTCCTTAATTTTATATTTTTGTCTATGTTTTCCTTTTTGGAATAGCGTTACTTGCTATACAGACAAGGTAAGAGAAAGGATCGTTTTTCTCGGTTCTACTTATCTAAAATCTTCTGCTAAAAAATTTGCCTCAAGTTCAATCAAGATAAAAAAGGAACATTTCAAAGAGCGTTTTATTAAGCTAAAAATTATGTTGATGGTGTATACAAATATCGAATCAATGGTAAATAAAGGCGTCTTTATGCGCATATGCTGATAGGAGTTTTCGTTTCTAATGCGACAGTTTCCAGCCAAAGAAAGACATGATTTAGAATTTTTACAAGTACGGCTGGATATTTTGGGACTTTACACAAATGTATCTTTCAGTAAACAATTATGAGTAATTTACGAAATAAACACTTCAAGAAAAAGAAAAAACTCAAAAACCCTCTTATACTTTTGTGTAAAGTGTCAAGAAAAGGAAGTGACCTTTTCAATTTTTCATCAGCATGTTTCGATTAAATAAGTCCTTCTATCGAAAAATAAAGCTCTTAAGTTTTGTATATGTATTATAAAATTGACTACAGTGTTGTTTTTTCAAGATGTTTCCGGATGAATAGTAGTTTATTTCTTAGTGCTACCTTTCAAGTTGGGCCATATTATAGTTGGGGAGAAGAGAGCTTTGATAATGAGTATTAAATAAACAGGGAAAGTACTATATCTTCAATTATTAGAATAGCGTAAATTTACAGATTATCTGTTTCAACAAACTGTCATAACTCATAATTAAGTGAAACAAACCTTTCAACTGGATAAACATCTCCTCCACTGCTGTTTCTCTTACATTTTGTGGTTTTCGACTATTTACAACTCTTAATTTGCCAGTTATTGGGTGGAATTCAAGCTGAAAATGATTTGTTAACATAAGAAACATATAGTGATTGGAAGATCTCCATAAATTGATAACTTTCGACCAGTTTACTTCAAAGGCTCATTAAAAACATGTACTATTCGCTATTCCTTTATGATTATATTATGCATTGATAAAATTAATTCCAAATGTGGTTTTAATGCAAAACCATAGCAATTGTATTTGCAAAGTTTGTTTTATTCGTTGTATCATATTAACAAACCGAAAACAGGTACACATTATCATACGAATATTAAAAACGAGAATCTCATTTGATGTACAATATTCATCACTAGTAAAAAAGGTCATATCCGCATTCTGATTAGATATACCATATTTTCAAGCTTTATCACCAATGGCTGATAGCATTGAAATAAAGAAAGCAAAAACAATATATTTTTGACTTTATTTACCGAAGGCTTTGCGTTTTGCCTAAATACCTTCCGTAAGCTAATTCAATAGAAATGTAAAAAATGGTAACAAAGTGCAGGACGTTGGAATTCTTAAGTAATTTTCATCATCAAACATGATTTTTGAAACATGTGCACGGTTCGTTTGTTAAGTTCAGTCATTTGTTTTCAATACTTGTCAATTCTTTTAAAAAAAATAGTAACTATTAACTCACTACCATGAAGAAATCTATTATTATCACATTTAAAAGAAATGTTTTGTCTTATGTGAATCTTTATATCATCAAAAAAAGCGCAAAACTTTTCCATATCTTCTTTAGAAACTGTATTATACTTTTCAAAGTTCCCATCAAAATTGAACACAAAAATTAAAGCTCGATTATTGCCACAATTTTTCTTATAGGTAAAAGTTGTATGCTTATGAGGAAAATTCATCATCAATTTCAGATTTTCACGATATAAACTTTTATCTGAGTTAAGTTTAATTTTTTTACTAATCAGCCGTTTTTGAAATTTTAGCCTTTCCTGCATTCTACTTGGCTTAAGAAGCAGACAGAATTTTTGTATGTTAGAAAAATTTTTGTATGTTAATGTATGTTAGAAAAATTTTGCAATATCTGACTGTGGTAAGGAATAATTTTTGCTAAATACCTGAGTGAAATTTGTTTGTTTTGATTTTATTTGTTTTCACAAAGTAATCAATTTAAAGGAAATTTTGAAAATTTTCCTTTTTGTTTCTATTTACGATCCAAGAAAAATATTTTTGTATCAGGACGTTTCAAGCGGCAAATAATACACTTAATGTACCATATATAACTTACAAACAGGAACATCACAAAGACCTTAAATTTGAGGCGGTGTAGCTAGTATTTACTTGAAGATTTTTCTAAACTTTCCTGAAATTTTACTGTTCTCCTGATATGCATTTCACCAATTTGGAAAATACTTAATGATTTCAAAATTTTAAATTTTGAAAAATATATTATTAGTTTTAAGATATTTTATTCTATCATTATTCTTAGTTTAAATAATCAAGGAGCATGCATGCATCCCTTTATGCCACTCAAAAATTTAAGAAAAGAAATTTATATTTGTATACGCAATATTTAGTTTTATGAAGAAATACATGAATTTATGCACAATTCCCCCTATTTCTTCACTATTTTTCCAAAGTTTTGCAAAGTTTTTAAAATTTAAGGTACAGTTTAATTCTATTACTTTCCATTTTTTACGTCTATCGCGCTTACAGATAGTCCATTACTTCATGTACATTATGTTCATAAATTTTATAGATGTAAATTATTATTTCCCAAACCAACTATTCTTTGCTGACATCCTATAAGCAGGCATTGATGATTTTAAAGCAGCAACTTTGCGCGCGGCCTAATGAGCCAAGTAAGTTAGTTCCCTTGTGTCGGACCTTAGCTAGTTACTATGTTGGGAAATTAATAGGACTAGCCGTGTATTCACTGAAAAAAGAAACATGACGTATAATAGTTCTAGATACTCCCATGAAAAAACATTCTAGAACGAAATATTTACTTTTATCACTGAAGATGACTTAGGAGTAGTCATCGAAAGTCAAACTTGTAAATGATTGAATGTTTTATTTACTACGTGTCTACATTCTGCAAAGTATTGATTGTTTATGTATTTCATTCTAACTAAGCATAGAGCAAAGTGTAAAATATCACTGTCTATGTGGTACTCTACCTATTGTTTCTTTGCATAATTTATTGTTAAAGATAAATTTTGCGTGATGATTTTTAACTAGCATCAAATAATTGCTTCTGATATCGAATAATCTAAGCTTATAATAAATATTATGTTTATGTCAGAATTTTGATAGTTTAGCACTTGATTTTTATTTGATTTTTACACACACCCCTCGGGAGCGACGTCCCTGCCTACAAAGATTGGCTTTTGTCTTCTTAGAGTACGTAAGATACAAAACTTTTAAAAAGAAAGCTTTGTAGAATTTTTTGTTGTCTTTTACATAGGTAATTGTTCAAAAATTATAAGATTCTTGTTTATGATATAGCTTTTGATTCACATAAACATCGATAGTAATGCTTATTAATCCTGACAGGTGAAATAGTTTTTTGAGGTTGCATGAGCAAGTAACTTTTCAGAAAAAAACATTTGTACTGTATTAGGACATGCTTACAATTCAATAAATTTGCAACAAAATCCGAATGATAAAATCAGCTCTATATTTGAATTTATAAAGTAATAAAAGTTACTACTAACTTATCATAGCATTCTTTAATTGAAAATCAAGCAAACAAAACTAATAACAAAAAATTGGCTACCAAGCAAAGTAATTTTACCACAACATTTTCGTTAGTCTTTAGTTTTTCACACTTAGGTACTTATAAATAACAATGTTTTAAAGACAAAGGTAAATTATTTACCTGTTCATTCTTTTGATAACCTCTTGCAACTGGGCTTGAATGCTTTGGAATATCTTTGTAGGAAATCATCGTTCCTAAATTCAAACTAAAAAAAGCGATCATGAAAAGTCAATTTTTTACTTGTACACAAATAGAATGAAATGATATTTTACGATTGTTCTTCCTCAAAAATTTTGATTTTAGTGGAGTAACTAACCCTATACAAACAGATTATTTATTGAAATTAATATTGCATGTGAAATTTCTTCGTGGTTTTAGTAATTACTTCCATTGATCAATATTTTTAATCAATGTGTTTTAGTATTTACTTCCATTGATTATAATCAATAATTTGGGCTGATGTAAAAATATCCTTTGGCCTAAAATTAACATTCTAGTGATTCTACAGTTTTTATCTTACGTCAATATCTGCTATGTTAGACGCTGTCAATCACATAAAAATATTTTACCAGATTACTAGATTTTAAAATTTAAAAATTCGTCACAATAGATGACGTATTGTGCATTCTATAGTAAATTCTTTTTATTTAAAGCACATAAATTATATGTTGCAACAAGAATTAGCTAACAGGGACTAGGTGACTTGCAATTTCTCAAACAAGCAAAGAAATCAGTAGCAGAAAACAAATAAAATAATTCCAAAATATCAATAATTATTTTTTGCACTAAAATAAATTGCACGGTTTAATAAAATATATTGGTATTTATGTTGGCAAATTGAGTGGTATCAAATAAAACAAGAAGTTTTAAGATAGACACTAAATGCACAGCCATGATCACATGGAATAAGAATGGAACTACTTAAAGCGAATATGGCATCAAATTTTTCTTGAACATTAATTAAGTCAAAATTGTCAGTCTGACGTTACATTGGATAATTTTACAATTGAAAATTACAGAAGCTTAGCTGATTTTTTCTATACACAATTATAATGCATAAATAGAAAATGGTAAAAACCTTTCGTTTAGGTTTTCTTCTTCTTGGTAATGCATCAAGTTATCAAGTTCCCAAACATCAAATTCTTGCTTTCCCAAAGACCTTGGCCCTGCTTTCATCCAACTGTGAACAACTAATTTTATATATTTTTGACTGGTAATAATTATTTCTTTCTCGTCATCACGGTACTGTTCATTACAGTCGAAAACCAGAGAGTTAAATTTGAACTCATCATTTTTTACAGAAAAACCTTGAGCAACAAGCGTTTTGTCCATCTTCTCACCAAAAAAGCACTCATAGACAACATCATGTACATTGCTTTCTTTTCCTGGATAAAGACATTTTCTTATTTTGTCTGAGTTTGTGTCTAATATAATAATACAGCCCCTGTTACAAGTGGTTCCATTACTCTTTGTCCAGTGCGTAACACCATGGCATGCATACAAAACTAACCCAGCATAAGCACTATTCCAGTGTAGTTCGGACATTCTTGGTTTGTAGACGTCGGATTTGCTCAAAATGTGGAACTTTTGCACATTTTCCCAGTAGTCGTGTTTTTATGAAAATCATTCTGAAACTGGGCATTAAATGGGCAATAAAACCCATCTTTAGCCATTTCTATGGCAATATTATTATCAGGGTTAAAACTCTTGATCTACCGGTGCTCTCGTAAATTTCAGTCTAAAAATTGTTTGGATAAAAAATAAAGTATAATAAGTTGACGACTTTTCAACAAATGTACAAAAATTAATTTAAAAACTCGTAAACTCAGAAGTGTCATTTGCCATATAGACGAGTTTTCTTTGAATAAAAAGTGTTTATTACAAAATTCAAAGATGGCCTTTTTTAAAAATGGGAGTAATCAAAATAATAAAGAACAGCTTTTATCAAAATAATAAAATGACATGGAAACTATTGTTTGCTTATTTTGTCAAACACTCTCTACAAATTTAAAAATTGGAAGAACTACTATTCTTTATTTTATTAATATCTTATTTCATAGAAAACTGAAACACGTTAATAGGAATTAAAAAATATATCAGATACATGAGCTTCTATCGAAAGGAAACTTGAAAATAGTATAATTTTATGTCTGTACCACAGTCTAGGTATTATACAGTATGCTTATACAGTAAGAGTTGTTTACTCATTAAAATTGGTTTATTCAGCTTAGTTGGGCATTTTTTGGTCAGAAATATTGGAAAATCTTGTGGGGACCTGAGTCAGGTCCCCACATTGCACCAGGTCCCCACAGTGCAGGTCTACAAACCGTATAGGTCCCCATAATATACGGTTTACAAATGCCTGGTAGCTCGCGCCATGTTGTCAGTAAATAAAGAGGAGTGAAAATAGTTAAGAAAAGTGCTTGGAGAAAAGAATAGAACTAAGCTTTGTATAGCCTGAAAGCAGCTATGTTTTTCAGCTAAAGCCAATCGGTGAAAAAAAAGGGAAAAATATTCCATTTAATTGTAAAAGTCGCATTTCTGTAATAAAAATCTTAGCAATCTCACTCTTCTTTTCTTACTGCCAACATGGCGGCCAACATGCGCAAGGTAACATGCGCGAGGACAAAACGTTCAAAGGTTCCGACGAGAATAGCATGCTGTATAATACCTACACCGAGGTCTGTAATGTCTGCAGATACTATTTTAAAATTTTCCAACTGTTGGAGTGTTAATTTTTAAAATACAATTAATTAAATTTTTTGTTTAGTTTGGAAGATATCTGATCTATTATTAGCATCAATGGTGTGAGCGGCATTTTAGGTCTACATTGTCCAACCTTGCTTTTACACTGATAAGCTTAATATCATTACATACTTTTTCTATCACAAAATTGGAGATATTTCAAAATTCAATATCGTTAGAAATACAAAAAACTAGGAGTTTTAGATAATTGTGTATCACCATAATTTCTAATTAGCAGCAATTTTAAAAAACACTTGAGAAAAACGACGATTTATTTGAGAAACATGTTTGCTCTCAAAAAAATCGTCGTTTTTCTCAAGTGTTTTTTAAAATTGTGTATCAGTTTTTGAAGTCAAAAAGGAGAAATTTGGAGAATTTGGCTAACTTACGTTTTCATTATTCGGAGATTCTCTTGCTATTTTCTTTGAGTTTGACTTATTTTCTTCGTCCTGCGACATCGTTTCAAAACTCGTACTAAAAAAACAATACCATATTAAAAAACATTTAGTAACTATTTAGCAAAAGCAAATAATTTAGGACATAGATGAACAGCAGCTCTTTGTAAAAAAAATATGTTTCAATTCGTTTTCTCTTAAAATGAAAAACACTATATTCCATCAGTTTTTATTTGTTGTATTTTTATCGACCTTTTGCTAACTACATGTATGTTAGTAGCAATTCATATTATTTAACGTTTAAAATATATTTTAACAAAAGTTTTGTGTCGATCACACGTCAATTGAGGAGAAACAGATTAATATACTCTGTCAGAGCAGGCTAAAATCTTTCAAAATGTAGTTGAACCAACGTGTAATTTTAGAAAAGCATCCTCAATAAAACAAGTTGAAAAATTCTTAATATATAAGAAAACTATTGAACTATTAAGTCGATATGATCGTCATGCAGAAAATGTTTATGTCTTGTTAACAATTTTCCAAATGTATATTTTGAATTTGTGGTAAGAGTAAATTCCAAGCGTGTTAAGGTTACTTAAAGTATTACAAATTTGCACATGTGCAGTAATACAAATTCAGGTATTCATTCATGGACCCTTCTTTTTAGCTTTATATCAACAGCATTATAAATCCTGGGTTAAAAGGCTTTTAATGCAGTATAGATTATATAGAATAAGAAAGTTATCATTTGACAATTGGCATAGATTGCCAAACATGAGTATTCAATACATAGAAAGTGACAGATAACAAAGAGACAAATCATTAGATTTACGATCATAAAATAAAGGTAATTATTAGCTAATACTGATATATACTTGGGATTTTTTGATGTAAAAAAGCCAAAATGTAATATCAAAAGTCTTAAAAAGCAAAAATAAAAATCGTCTTAACAAAACACTATTAGTGTGGAATGTCAATCAGTAAGATCATGTTTCACTGATCACGTTGAATATCAGGAATAAATACAAATTTTATGTCATTTAAGAAAAAGAAGTATGTTAAACTGTGTTTGAAGAGGCTTCTACCAACCCAATAGACTACCAACCCAATAGAATTTGGGAGAATTTAAGAGAAGATGAGTGCATGCCTAAGAGAGAGGGTCAAAGCTCTTACTTGATTTAGAGTTCTAAAATACTCTAAATCTTTTTAATTTTATCATAAGCAAGTGCAAAAACAAAAAACATTATTTATTCCTTTCGTCGTGTCTGGAAGTGAAAGAGTTTATACAACACAAAATACTGAACACTATTCATTAGAAAAATCCTCTTTTGATGCTCGGTGCTCGGGCACGGGCACCATTGTGAACGACGACACCTGAATAACGTGTACAAAAAGCACATGGTTTCAAAACTTGTGTACAGTGAAAAACATGAAATTATTAATAAACGAAGGTACTGGGTACAACGTAGTGTGAACGGCCTTCCAGGTTTGTGCCCGAACCAGGGTATCGTTTTTCAGCACTCAATCTGAATGCGCTGTTATTGGTTTTGTTTTGCATTTTGAATACATGCTATTGCAAAATTGCGATTCGCAAAACAATGGCGTAATGAATTCCCATTCTTACAAACAGCTTTTTAGCATTGTCAGATGCCATGGCCTACTGGTATTGATTTTATATGGACTTCGTGGTTTAAAAAATATTTTTACCAGTACCTGCACTCCTTGTTTTGACTGGCCATTTCTCATGAAATACGTGTTTAAGTTATATAATGTACTGCAGAGAAGTAGAAGATAAGCTTTAAATAATTTGAAGTGTAAGAATAACAGCCTGTTATCATCTAGTTTAGTCTTATGAATGAGCATTAGTGTATTCAACACTAATGCGGGGTTTGAAACAACCCATGAGAAGAAAATCTTACGCCATAGAAATAGACAAAAAATGAATATAGGAAAGGTGGTGGTCTGTAACTTATGAAACCTGAGTGGGCAATGTCTTTTAATTTGCATTTGATCGAGTCTGGAAAAAATTCGGATGATTCATTGACAGGTTCTCATTTGAGACGGTTGTAGAGTTTTTCAAAGGTTGTTAAGAAGGTGCAAATGTTTAACTTTTTCGGTGGGATAGAAACGTTCAAAGAATTTGAAAGGATTTCTTTCTCTCTGTCAGTAATGAGGTGGTTTTAGAAGTTGAACACCACTTTATCAGGGTCGATTGGGATGTTGCTGTCATGTTTGGATGTGAGACGGAAAAGTTTGTGTTCTTGCATATGCTGATGTTGCGTTAGTTTTCTTGAATTTTCACAATCGGAGACATTATTAAGGTGTATAATGTCAATTTTGGAGGTTAGTAACGCCCGTTTGGAGTGTGCTTGTGTTAGTTGTGCTGAGAGAACACGTATACGAGCGTGTTTCCCGTTTATTTCTTCTTGAAGGAGTTCATTTTGGCATTGGCGATAAGCTCTAGAGTTTTGTAAGCGACGACTAGCTACTTTGAACAACAGGAATCTTGGTACCACAGAGCATGTCGTAAGAAAATCCAAGTCGAGTTTGGCTTTTCCCAGCTTGAGTTCAAGTCGTTGGAATTTTCTAAATGCTTCGAGTGCTCTATTATTATAGCGATGATTTAAAATTGTAGCGAGAGACTTGCCGAGCGGGAATCGGAATCGTGTAATAAAAATTAATGCCCAACATAAAGTTCTGATTAGAGCCATAGAAGTAGAACAAAAAAAATGTCTTCTTGTGAGTATAGGAAAGGTGATGGGCTGTAACTTAGGAAACCTTAGTTGGCAATGTCTTTTAATTTGCATTTTATCGAGTATGGAAAAAATCCGGATGATTCATTAACAGGTTCTCGTTTGAAACGCTTGTAAAGTTTTTCAAAGGGTGTTTATGTTGGGCATTAATTTTTATTACACGAATCCGATTTGCGCTCGACGAGTCTCACGCTACTATTTTAAAATCTGACGCATATTGTCTATCGTGATATTAGCTCCCACTATTTAGCTCCGTTAGTCAGTAAGGACCAAGACTTTCAAGATTTTCAATTGAAGCTAGTCTTTAAATATTTTATGTCGGTAATCATTCTTTTTTCTGATTTTTCCGTATGTAGTTAATTATATAACTTACTTTCGCTAGTCAGTCACTTACCTTATAGAGACTCTCGTATATATGTAAGTTTATACAAGACCTGTGCATGTTGAATAAACCAAACAAATTTTTATTGTTCTCATATACGTCAGAAAACGCTTTTGAAAAACAATCAAGTTAATATAATGAAGTTATTTAAATGAACTATAATGTGCTATAAAATGATTATGATTTGTTGTCAAAATTCGTGAGAAATATGAGGGACTTCTTTAAATAAGTCTTAATAGAAACATCCGCTTAATAGAGGTAACCGTTTAATAAGATCACGATTATAGTGTTTCTACTGTGAAATTTTCTGGACTTTTCATATGATCACTTAACACAGAATAACGCTTAATACGGTGCCGCTTAATACAGGTTCTATAAAAATATATTTTAGTATTAACAGTTCATTCATAGAGTGCTTTCAAGTGTGCATATACAGAAATAAACAATCCTTAAAAATTCAGCATAAATTTTTTCTCCCAGCATCTATTTTTAAAAATGCGAATCTAATTCGCTTTACCAAGCACATTTAACCTGCAACTTGCACATTACAGATACACGTTTTTGAGTGATGTTTCAAAACATTTTTGTTTTACTTTCCTACAATATGGCAAATGGAACAATTGAAACAAAAGGATACAATTTCATGCAAAACGTTTTCATGTTGACTTATATAAATACCGCCACTTGAAAAGTGGTTTACAAAATCACTAAAAGGTACAGCCTTTTCCATTTAAAATAGTTTACTTTTTACTCCTTCGCTTTTCTCGTAATAAACAAGGATCTACTCATTCGGTTTATGATATAACTATTAGGCAACAGTAGACACGTAAAAATCGAACACCTGTGTCGTTGTCAGGACGATATAAAATAATGCTCAGCGTGAAATTTATTAAGGAATGGTTAATTAAATATTTCAATTAAATGTTGCTTTTAATATCAATGTTTATAACCTCGTAAAAGTCTAGAAATATAAAGCTATTACTCATTACAAAATTACAACTGCCTCATAAAGCATTGCTTTCCCTAACTTTAGTATTCAATTTCTACTAATAACTATATTAAATAATTTGCATGCAGTAAAATTAGCATGACACGGGTGAGTGCTATAGAGGTAGCTAATTTTAACGTTACTAGCTAAATAGCGCAAATTTTAAAAATAAAATAAGTTTGGTTTTATTTCATTGCAAGTTTTCGTTGTATAAATGAAACGGTTGTACAACATGCATGGACCATCGATCGAAACAAACAACCGCAGACAGATATTTAGAATAAAAAAACGGAACCTGCATTTATAAGTTGATTGCCAGGCATGGAAATGAAGTTTCAGCTCAGGAATAAAGTTTATAATAAATCACAAAAGATTAGTAACGACTATGTGTTGCGTTACTAAATTATGTGTCTGGAGTGAAATAAATTCTTCGAAAGAATGGCGTGCTTGTTCCTTATCGTATAATAATGAAATACTTGGAAGATATTTATATTGTCATATCTTTCTACACTTCAACATTAAAATGTTATGTTGATAAAGCCATATGCTTTAAGCAGCAGAAAAAAAGGGTAAATCGAATTAAGTTAATGATGTTAATCATCATACCTATATTCTTAAAGCAATTTATATTACTGTTACATTTTGTACAAATTAAAATATGTAATCGCCTTATTTATAATCATTTATAGAGCGATGAAATACTTACAGTTGGCTCAAGAATGTTTTTGCAAAAGGACTTATTTATTGCTTGAATTCTTGTAATTTTCTGAACATTTTTAAGCATCGATTGGTGCTGCCATTCCATTAAATAATTAGCACTATGATGCCCAGAATAAAACTACTGAACAATTGTAAAATGAAAATATATGCATACATTTGTAATGTTGACAAAGAGCCAAGTTGTTAAAAACGCTTGTGAAGCCTGCTTTGCACATGGTAGCCACATGATCGTAAAATTGACTAATAAACACTCATACCTCAACTCAGGAGATAGGAAGTTAGTGATATGCAAAAAGTTGCAGATGACGTTTAAATAGTACAATGGAAACTGACAAAACTTGTAAATTACTCTATAGACTAGTATTAGAAAAATTTAGAATTATTTGTCTTGATATTTGTTTCAGGTGAAGCGGTGTTTATCAAATGATATTTATATTTACTGCATATTAATATATTCCAAAGGCATTACGTTTTGTAGAAAAAGTCTTAAATTAAATGAATGCGTTTATATTTAATATGTGTTGATATATTCCCAAGACATTGGTTTTGTACAAAGGGTTATAAAACATCAGTAGCGTGGCTGATGCAAAATATATATAATCATAATCTCTGACACGAAAGATGAAGCACATATACACATCATTTATTGCCGTACAGATAAGATTTATCTGATATTCTGCTTTGGATGTTAATACATTATATTTGTAGAGAAAGTTTTATTATTTAAACGGTGGGTCGCAGTGGTTGCCAGTGACATTGTAAAAACTCATATTTTTTTATGGTTGTCTGTAGAGAAATCTTATACTTTTTATCAAGAAAAAAGTTTTTAATATTGCCATAACGTCACCAAGAGCTTATAGCAATATATAACTTTCTCAATATTAATTCGAAGTGTCGGTGTTTATCATTGTTAAAGCTTTGATTTAGTTTGCATGCCATTATTTCAGTTATATTTTCTCTTTCTAACTTTTTTATAAATTTTCTTAAAAATTTTTACTAGTTGCAATTACTTAAGATAATGCTTCGAACTTGTGGTCATCGTGGCTATTTGTTTAAATCAAAATTTTAAACTTCCTTCGAATTTTTGTTGAAAGACTTTGGACTTTTTGCACTAATTTAAATTGGTTTGGTCATGTGATCATCATGTGGAAACATAGTTTCACCAAAAATTTTTGGGCATTATATCTATGTGTCATATTTGCATACGTATGCGTGCTTAAATATTTTATTATATTTTAGGCTCGGCAGTACATGATTTGTTAATAGGAGTAGCAGCAACCTACGACGAATAATAAAGTCAAGAGTAAATAAATCAGTCTATTTTTGGAAGATACTTTGAGTTAACAGTAAGTACTTTATACCTTTAGAAAATACTTATACAACCCTTGATTACATCTTTCAATTTTTAAAATGTAATGCTAAGATATTTTAGCTAATGAATATTAATGAATTCTGATACAGTAAATTCATATCCTCCAATTTCCAACTATTTAATTATTATAGAATAAAGAAAAAGTAAAACTGTCTTTCATTGGATTAATTTTACACTTAATTCATGATTCACAAACACAGAGTAGTCTTTCCTTTAAATGCGTGGGCTAGCAGATTTTGAATTTGATCAATCTTATTTCTCTGCAGTTGTTGTTTCAATATCTAGCTTTTTTATTTGATACCATTCAAATACTATTTGATATGATTTGATATTTCAAACATAAAAAGTTATTTAAATTTCTTTAAAATGTTGCACATTTTAGCGGTCATAATATTAGCATTGTTGAAATGCCACTTTATCATTCACCCGTCTCAGGTTAATTATATTGCATGCAGACAAATCATTGAACAATGGTTATTATTTAATAATTAAAGTTATTTGAACAGTTATTTTGACGAGTGTGCTATTGAGAGCAACAGCTACTTCGTCCTTAATTCGAAAAGTTTACTAATATTAACAATGAATTTGAATCAGTAAGTTAACATTCTTTCACCTTTTCATAATACTATTTATATCGTCATGACAACGACACAGGAGTTTTTTTGTCATTTATTTGTTATTGATAGCTAAGTTATCTCCCAATTTCGACCTAACATAAACGATTTTCAAAACGGTGCACAAATCATTAAATATCAAGATATTTGTGTTTCGCTAGAAATTCACAAAAATTCCCTTCATGAATACTCTCATATAAGCCATCATACACATTGTAAGCAAACTCTTGTCCAAACAATAAATTTCCTTCATTATAAACTTGAATATGCAAACTGACTGCCTAATTTGTAAATGGAATGTACACAAGGTGCAATACCATAAATATTGCATCGCCGATGTCTTTAATAATGTCGATTCAGTATAGTTATACAGTAGAAAGTATAGAATATAGAATACATAAAAGCAGTCTATACATTTCATTTAAATCTAAATAACTCCATTGTTAAAAATACAAGTGCCGTTCTTCTTTGGATAACTCCTGACACAACGATCACGACCAACACAAACGAAAATTCCAAAATAACAACTCTATTCTTCAAACTACCATACATCGGACATTACTCACGACACACACAACGCAGACTTACAAACATTACGAAACGCTTCTGTACAGATATTAACATTCGACTAATTTTCACATCATTCAAAATCAAAAACCTTTTCTCATTCAAAGACCAAATCACTGATTCAATTAAATCTATGGTGGTATATGAATTCAATTGTGCGGGATGTAATTCCCGATACATTGGCGAAACTTCACGCCATTTATCCACCAGAATCAGGAACATACCATAACAGACAAAAACTCTCATATCTACCGACACCTTAAATCTCACTTATGTAAAACCAACTATTAACCCTCTTGCTTCAAAATCATCGACACTGCCGACACCTCATTCACCCTTAAAATCAAAAAAGCACTCCACATTAACAAAACTAACCCTGACCTCAACGTTCAAGTTTTTAAATTCAATACAAAAATTAGTTAATAATACGCTCGGATGCTCCCCATTAATTTATCCATTTACTTTTTATTGTTGTAATTTATGTATCATATTACTTTTATATAAAACTTGCATCATTTATTATTTCACTCATACTGAAGATGGCATCATTAGATGTCGAAACATGTCTATTCTAAAAAAACTTGTCGTGTATATTAAATGCGCGTTTTCATGTTTATTTTGCTAAATACCGCCACTTGAAAAGTGGTTTACAAAATCACTAAAAGGTACAGCCCTTTGCATTTAAAATAGTTTACTTTTACTCCTTCGCTTCTCTCGTAATAAACAAGGATCTAATCATTCCGTTTATGATAATACTATTCGACAAACAGTAGACAGGTAAAAATCGAACACCTGTGTCGTTGTCAGGACGATATAAAATAGTTGCTCAGCGTGAAATAAATTAAAGAAAGGTTAATTAAATATTTCAATTAACTGTTGCTTTTAATATCAATGTTTGCAACCTCTTAAAAGTCTAGAAATTTAAAGCTATTACTCATTACAAAATTACAACAGCCTCATAAAGCATTGCTTCCCTACTTTAGTATTCAATTTCTACTAATAACTATATTAAATAATTTGCATGCAGTAAAATTAGCATGACACGGGTGAATGCTACAGATGTAGCTAATTTTAAGGTTCAATTTACATTGCGCAAACTTTAAAAAAATAAAATAAGTTTGGTTTTATTTAATTGCAAGTTTTCGTTGTATAAATGAAACGGTTATACAACATGTATGAACCATAGATCGAAACAAACAACCGCATACAGATATTTAGAATAAAATAACTGAACCTGCATTTATAAGTTGATTGCCAGGAATGGAAATGAAGTTTCAGTTCAGGAATAAAGTTTATAATAAATCACGAAAGATTAGTAACGACTATGTGTCGCGTTAGTAAATTATGTGTTTGGAGTGAAATAAATTCTTCGAAAGAATGGCGTACTTGTTCCTTATCGTATAATAATGAAATACTTGGAAGATATTTATATTGTTATATCTTTCTACACTTCAACATTAAAATGTGATGTTGATTATGTCATATGATTTAAGCAGCAGGAAAAAAGGGTAAATCGAATTAAGTTAAAGGTGTTAATAATCATACCTATATTCTTAAAGCAAATTATCTTACTACGACATCTTGTACAAATTAAAATATGTAAGCGCCTTATTTATAATCATTTATAGAGCGATGAAATACTTACTTTGGCTTTAAGAATGTTTTAAAAAAAGGAATGATTTTTTGGGTGAATTCTTGTAATTTTCTGAACATTTTTAAGCATCGATTGGTACTGCCATTCTTTTAAATAACTTATCACTGTGATTCTTAGGATAAATTTACTGAACAACTGTATATGAAATATATGCATACATTTGTAATGTTGACTAGAGCCAAGTTATTAAAAATATTGGTGAAGCATGCTTTGCGCATGGTAGCCACGTGATCGTAACATTGACTAATAAACACTCATGACTCAACTCAGGAAACAGGAAGTAAGTGATAAAAAAAAAGTTGTAGATGACGTTTAAATAGTACAATGGAAACTGACAAAACTTGTAAATTACTTTATAGACTAGTATTAGAAAAATTTAAAATTATTTGTCTTGATATTTGTTTCAGGTGAAGCGGTGTTTAACAAATGATATTTATATTTACTGCATATTAATATATTCCAAAGGCTTTACGTTTTGTAAAAAAAGTCTTAAAGTTATTATGGTGGCTAAATACATATAGTCATACTCTCTTACACCAAAAAGTGCAAACAAACATCCTTGCCGTACACAAAGATTTATCAGACAGTCTGCCTTAGATTTTAGTATATATTTTATGTAAAGAAAGGGTTATTTTGTTAAATGCCGCGTCGCAGCAGTTGCCAGGATCATTGTAAAAACTTATATTTGTAAACTAAACTTCCATGTAAAACAACACTTATATATTGGATTCAAATTGAAGTTTGATAGTGGTTGAAGTGTTACAGTTAGAAACGGATATATGGAAGAAATAACAAAATTCTTGTAACGTTCTGTCCATAGTGCTAATGGATGTCTGTAAAGGAATCTTACTCTCTTGTGAAAAAAATTTTGTTTTCTTGTAATAACGTCATGAGCATTAAAAGCAAGTAACTGTATCTTTCTGAGTATTGATTTGAGCTGTGGATGTTGATCGTTGCTAAAGCCTTAATTTGGTCAGTGGCGGACCACTGTACGTCAAAATAAATTATAGCTCCTCAATTTTAAATTCAAAATTGAAACGAGAAAACACTTTTGGTTTTTAATTAATAAAGGTTATACATTTACCATGGGATTAGACACTAAGGTGTTTAGAAATGTAAATATACGCCAAAATCTGCTGCAGTATCTTATTTTAACATACTCTGATTCCGCCACTGAATTTGGTTATCATGCAAATTTTTAATCAAAATTTCTATTTCTAATTTTGATTTCATTTTTCTTAAAAGACATTGCACGATTAGCAATTACTTATGTTAATGCTTAAAACATTTGGTGGGTCAACAGACCAGTTTGTTTAAATCAAAATTTTCAATTTCCTTTAAATTACTCTTTAAAGACTTTGAACTTTTAAACTTAGTTAGGTCATGTGATCATCATGTGCAAACCTGGTTTCCCCAAAAATTATAGCATTAATATATTACATTTCATGCATCGCAGGACGTGATTTGTTGAAAGAAGTGGCAGCAACTGTCGACGATTTACGAACTCTAAACGTAGATTTACAAATACAACATAGTCTTTTCGTTTAAATGCGTGGGCAATCAGATTATAAATGCAGATTTTGAGTTTCATCATTCCATTATTTCATCATATCCATTATTTCATCATTTCCAAGCTGTATATGGTTGTGTCCATATACAGCTTTTTTATTTGAATTTAAAACAGTGAAATAAACTAAGATTATTTCATTTTTTTCTAAAGGTTGCACAATTTAGCGGTCATAACAATAACATTGATGAAATACCACTTCATCATTCACCCGTTTTAGGTTCTATGTATGGCATGCAGGCCAATTATTGAATAAATCTTTGGTTATTAATCAATAATTAAAGTTGCTTAAAGTGTTATTTTAACAAGTGTGTTACTAAGAGTAACAGCCAATCAGACCTTGATTTGAAACGTTTACTAATATTACTATTAAAATTATTTTAACAGTGAAGTTAAGTCAGAAATTAACATTCTTTTGCACGACACAGGTGATCAAATTTTTTGTGTCATTCATTTCTTATTCATAGGTAAGCCACAAATTTTAATTTCTTTTTTGTATAAAGGATGTGCAAGACAGTGCACGGGTCATTGAACATAAAGAAATTTGTATTTCTTCTTTATTTACTAAGCGTTAATTCCAACTAAGAGTCGCTGGATTCTAATGATGTGCACTGTAAGCACTGACGCTGGGAATGAGAAAGTCTGCTTTGTATGACTTTGGCTTTTTCTGCATGAGAATGTTACAGTGATTTTAAACGTTCATAGTACAGTGTTTATAAGTTAAAATTTCAGGTATTAATAATTTTTTTAAATCGTCAAAAATATGCTTAATTGTCCATTGTATATGTAATTTTACTTGCGTTGTTGTGTAACCAATTTCTCGTATATGTGTTTTAAAAACAAAATTCTGCCTTATTTTGATATTTTTAATCCAAAAACTTAGTAGACATTACTGCTCTCAACATTCCATTTACTTTGCTTTGCAAAAAGCTTTAAAGAGCTTTTCCATGAAAACATTTTGCAAAGTATTGGCAAATGTAAAGCCAATCTACGTCATAATTTGGAAATAAATATCCTATTAACCAACTATAATTGGTAATAAATAAACGTTCAATGATCAGTGATTTTCTAACAAAATATCGTAAAAAAAAACCAGAAAAATGTTTAAATGTATTTTGCTCATCCTTAATCACCGATTAGATTAGTAAATTAAAAAAAAATCAAATAAAGTTCTATGATTATTAGTTGTAAAATTTTTCAAATATGGGTAGTAGAAGCAGTGTTTATCTTTCATGATTTTGTATTAAATTAAAATTAATAAGCAATAACATTTGACTTGCAACAAAAATCTGCTTTTCTTATAAATCTGCTTATCATAACTTTTAATAAGGTTTTAAGTAGCATTTTATTATTTGCATGTCAAAATGAATTATATGTTAAACGTTTACTAAAATTATCTACCTTTCAATGTTTTTTTTTTAGTACCAACAGAGTTAGGAACAATGTCGCGTAGCTCAGATATTCAGGGACATTTGAGAAATGTAGCAGCAGGAAGACAAACTAATGAACGGGTAAATATTTTGACCTGCTGCCATTGTATTTGCTGTGAATTCAGGAAAAACTTTCAACAAAAAAAGGATCAACATGGCTAACTTTCTTTTGCTCTAATGCAGTTTATGCTGCATGTAGTTTTAATCATTAGCATATTCTTGCATTAAAATATATATAAATCTATGTGATAGGCATTTGATTTGATGTGCTCATTTAAAAAATATCTTGATCACGTCCTCATTTTTAGAGCAATGTAAATTGTTATTTTGTTAACGCCTTTTGAGTGCTAATAAGATAAATATGCAATTTTCTCACTTCTAATTGGTTTGAAGCTGTTCAATTTTTAAGAAATGCCAGTGCAACTAAGATGAACTTCCTAATTGATTATTGAATTAAAAAAAATTATGTAAGTGCACATAAAAACAAAACGTTTCAAATCAACGCTTAACAATTTTGCCTGCAAAATTGGAGAATTTAATTGTGCTGAATTTTAATTAATACTGTAAAAAATATTTACATATTTGCTATTTTCCCATGTATTAGGGCTAATCAGCATGGCTAGAAAACCCATATTGCAAAGTAATATTGTGATTAAGAAAGAAAGTCTTTAGTAACTAAAAACCTGGAAATCTCACGTTAGACTCATCCGAACACTTAAGCTTCCAAAAAAGCGAAATTAGCAGAATATTTTTAAACCCAATCATGATGTTTTTGTAGACAATGGTATATTGTTTAAAAGATACAAAGATTATTAACTTATGCAAGCTAGGCAAATTTTACAAAGTATAGCTTGTAAGTTGAAATATGCCACATTATATCCTTTAGCTGCCTCGACGCTTAGCTTATCGTAGTGAGCTTGAGTAAATACTTGCGGTAATACTTGAATTAACCATGATTTTGCCTACAAGCATATGTATATTTTAATGACCTATCCGCAGCAACGGCAAATTCCAGCATCTAGCATGTTGCTTTGTTTCACTTCTAAAAATAATACTGAAATGATTGAGACAAAACTGCTAAATGAATATCTAAGCTAGGCGTAAATATTCTTCAGATTCCAAGAAGTGTAGAGTGACAAACGATTTATCATGAGCACAAATGTACGGTGGCCGGTACGGGTCACCAGAAAAATAATTTAGAAAACATAACAGACAATAAGAAAACATCACTCAAAATCATACAACACATTTCAAAATACTCACTACACATTTCAAAATACTCGCTACACATTTCAAAATACTCACTACACATTTCAAAATTCTCGCTACACATTTCAAAATACTCACTACACATTCGTCCCAGTCTTACCCTGGTCTGGCCTGCCCACGGTCGTCATTAGTTTACATCTACGAAATTGACGTGATGGCAGAAAGCTAATATAAATATACGCTTCCGATATTACTAACAGTTCAGTACGCGTAAGGATATTTTGATGCTATTGTGGCGATATGTTGTCAATGTGGAATTCGGCACATAGACAAACATATCGCCACAATAGCATCAAAATATGTGATACGCGTACATGAACTATTAGTAATATTTCTTCTAGGGATTTCTTGGTGTTTGTTGGAAAACACAACATGAGTGGTCAATCTACAGATTGCATGTAATTGTATTTGTATTGGTGATATTCGACAATCATTAGTTTAACTAATGCAATTATTGACGTGACTGGTATTGAAGTTCTAAATTTATTGCTTTTACACGAAATTACCGAACTTTTCATTTTCTTTGGCGTTTCTTGTGCAACAAATTATAGCACTATGTGTAAATTTCCTCTTTGGTTTCTTTGTTATTTTTGTAACGCATCACACAAGTATGTACGCGACATAACGAATGCAAATTCATATACTCAAATTTTTGCTATTGAAGTAGGGACATGTGTCGAAAGCCACTGCAAATACATTTGCTGGCGATATGTAGATTGTCTACTAATGTTGTTGCCCGACCAAGTCCAGCAAAACCCTGGAAGAATTTCTGATTAGAGTTCAGCCAATATTTTCTTGCTATTATCCCAATGTCCCATTTTGTTTGTCTTGTGAAATGCGGAATCATATATTTAGTATGCTTACTTTATGATGTCATGTCAGTTTCGTAGATGGAAACTAATGATGACCTTGGGCAGGCCAGACCAGGGTAAGACTGGGACGAATGTGTAGCGAGTATTTTGAAATGTGTAGCGAGTATTTTGAATTGTGTAGTGAGTATTTTGAAATGTGTAGCGAGAATTTTGAAATGTGTAGTGAGTATTTTGAAATGTGTAGTGAGTATTTTGTAATGTGTAGTGAGTATTTTGAAATGTGTAGTGAGTATTTTGAAATGTGTAGTATGATTTTGAGTGATTTTTTCTTACTGTTTGTTATGTTTTCTAAATTATTTTTCTGGTGACCCGTACCGGCCACCGTACAAATGTCATCTCGCATGTCTTTATTCTTAGTTATTCGAGGTGTTTCTATTTTTAACAGCTCATCAAACAAAGTTAAATCCATTCTAAAACAATACTGGAATGAGACGATTATAAGTGTGCAAACAAATAGTCACAATACACTCAGCATAATGCGATGACAATCACGAAAAACCGAGAAAAGTTGTGAACTACTGCATAATCCGTTTTTTGAATACCTTGCAATAAATTGCTGGCAAACCATTGCGACAATCTACAACGCTCGGCTGCAAAGGGTCTGGTCCAACACCTTTAATTGTTATGCCTTTCTTAGTTTCATGCTGCATTAGCAGTGTCATACCTATTAAACAAGAAAACATTCTTTCTTCTCTGAACAAACAAGCATACGCAATGCATATTTCTTTGACAATCGATATTTCAAAAAAGGCGCATTTTTGCGCACGGCACGCTGTACCAGCTTATCGCCGTAGCTACTGTTAAGACTATTTTAAGTTATATTTGTTGACTTGCTCACATGAGAGGCAAATCATTGTAATAAAAAAAAACTTGGAAAGGAAATCATTGTATTAATACAGACGCAACAATGTCAATAAAAAACTGGTGAAGCAAAAGTTGTCACCGAAAAACTTAGTCGACTCAGTCGTCTGCAACCGGCTTTAGTATAGCAAGTTCTTCACATGCTTTCGGAAGGGCTTTAACCATCATTATTCAGCAGCCTTTTACCAACAAAAGTGTTGTTATACGTCTAATCACTATTCCTGACTGTCTTTACTATAGCCACAAAGGCTGTTTTTGAACTTATGCATTATCATTATGAATGTTTTATGCAGTGCGGTGTTTTGAAATTAAATGAGATATGATCTTCGCACTTAGCTGGACAATTTAAGCAATCGTCTCAGGACCTGAAAAAATCAGGTGACTCAACGGGATTTTTTCAGGTCCTGAGACGATTGCTTAAATTGTCCAGCTAAGTGCGGTTTTTTCAGGTCACCTGATTTTTTCAGGTCCTGAGACGATTGCTTAAATTGTCCAGCTAAGTGCGAAGATCATATCGCATTATCATTATGCTACCTATAATTAAATATGATCGCATAAGTCAATAAACGAAACAAAACTTGTACTGAATATACATTAGATTGCTTATCCCACGAAAGTGCAGGAAAATTCCCGTATGAAAACATAAATGTTAAGCGCTCAAAGTATGAGCCTGATTTTTTCTTTGTTTTTCCGGCTATCGAACCTTTGCAAGTATGTTTTACTAAGTTTGTTTATATTTATTTGTAAAATTACGCATAAAAGGAGAATCGAAAAAAAAGGAACAAAAAAAAAATTAAATGAGTTATATTTTACTGACAAAAACATGAAGGAGGAAAAGGAAAGAAGCTTCGTTTCTGGTCAATAAATACCATATACAAAAACTTTTATTGGCCTTGCTTTCTTGTCATTATTTAGAAAGTTCAGACCTTTAAGGTTTTTACTAACCTCTTTCATCTTTCATAGATTCGGGTCTGGTAAGCATAGTCACGATGGTTGTTTTTATGGCAAACTTTATATACTTCGAGATAAATCTTAAAAATATGTCCGAAGCTTGCTGTAGGGCATTCTAAGCTTTTCATATACGTTCGAAACTTCTCGTATCGTATCGTCAAAATTTATAGCCTATTCCGAAGTTTCATGCAGCGTTCCAATCCTTTTTATAACAAGACAATCGTTGTATTTTTTATATCATCTGTTACAAATTTTTATGTACGGTATGGCAAACTTTTTACATCGTGTCGCATAATACTTTGCGGTTTAACTTCGTTTACAGGTTTACGCACTTTTTTCTTAAATTCAAAAGGGCGGGTTTAGGAGGCATTGGAGGCTCGGAACACAGTGTTTATTCATTCTTTCAGAGAACTAAAGCAATTGTTGCTGAAGCATAGGATTTTATCATTTCAGAACACTTATTATTTGACAATATCGCCGGTTAAGAAGGCATACACGAGCGACTTTCAGATGCTGGATACACTGTTTTCACGTTAAAACGAGAGCATTAAATCTTATAGACGATTATGATATGGCGACTTTTTATAATGATATGCACCAGTTATCCTTCTATTTAAGTCCACTTCAGAGTTTCTTTCAGAAACGTATCAACGACCTTCAGAATCAGATACCTTATATTCCAACCTAAAATTGCCATAGAAAGTACACTGGCACAAGAAGCCAACCGCGACTCGAAATATCTAAGAGATTAGTAGAATGCCTTGGGAATTGCACATTTCTTGGACTAAAATTGCTGAATTATTTGGTATCTCAACAAAAAAATTACAACGAAGACGTGTAGAATTTCAAATTGATGTGAAGGAACCTTGGTCTACCATAAGTGACGTTGAACTTAGAGAAACAATGCTATACTAATGATTATTAGTTAAGGCTGAGGTTTTATGATTTTCGCTTAAACCATACAAAACAATATGTATTAGGTATATCACCTGATCAATGAAATTCTTTATGTGTGCAGTACATTCTCCAATGTTTGCAGTTCTTATAGCCAGTTCAAAATTACCAATGGAAAAATATCTGAACACGGAAGGACTGAATATCGGAAAACCAGGTCCACCTCGCAAAATA